TCACCCAGACACCTAGAGGGGGAGAGGCCATCCAGAGGGAGGGGCCACCCAGAGAGTGAGGCGCCACACGAAGCTTGGGGCCACCGCTCGGATAGGAGTAAGTAGGTGCTGGAGTAGCAAGCCAGCAAGCAAGCAAGCAAGCAAGCATGCATGCTGATCATTCGTGCACCTCGTAGCGCCGTCTTTGGACACGCCAGCGGTAGCTGCACTAAGCCCACGAAAGTCCCAAGACTCTGAGAGCCGAAAATGATTGTCCTGATACGCGCTGCTGTCATCGTCGCGCGTGCATGTTCCACCCACGACCAACCACGAGGACGGATTGCCCCTCCACCGACCGCCGATGCCCCAGAGAGACCGGGGCTCCTCCTCCTCTTTCTCCTCCTCTCTTCTGTGTGCCCCCTGTCCCTCCCCCTCCCCGTCCTCCTCCTCCTCCTCCTCCTCCTCCTCCTCCTCCTCCTCCTCCTCCTCCTCCTCCTCCTCCTCCTCCTCCTCCTCCTTCCTCCTCCTTCCCCCCTCCTCCTCGCACCACCAGACGTATCAGGAGGGCGTGCCGGATGTGCCGCCTCAGACCTCATCACCAAAATGCGATCCTAAAGCAGACATGTTGCACTGCTGCACGGATGGAAATACAACAGATAGGGGCAAACCAAGTTTCTGTGTCAGGCAGTCGATCGGCGGAAATGAAACGATCTGGAGACCGCGCGGCGCGATGCGAGGGAGCGGAAGAGGAAGAGGAGGGCAACGACGGTGATGATGACGACCAACAGGAGGCAGCATGCAGAATTGGCATATCCCTACACGTTTCCCCAAACAATGCTTGCACTTAGGGGTTGTTACTTCCGCTCTAGGAACTGCGCCGTGTTTTCGGTCTGGCGGCTATGTGGCTATGTGGCTGCCGCCGCCGCCGCCCCGTCGCCGCCCAGCCGCCGCCAGTCGTCTGGGCCGGGTCTTCGGTCTGGCGGTTCTGTGGCCGCCATCGCCACCCCGTCGCCGCCTCGTCGCCGCCTGTCGTCTAGGCAGTGCCTTCGGTCTGGCGGCTCTGTGGCCGCCGTCGCCGCCCTGTCGCCGCCTCGTCGCCGCCCTGGGTTCTCCTTCCTAAAAAAAAAGTTGGGCCCACCACCGTCCCGAGGCCGAACTGATAACCAGCCCCTGGGGATGTGCAACTTACATGTGATTTTGCCCCCTCGTCCATCCGAACACGAATTCAAACCATCCCTGGCAGGCCCGAGTTCGCACCCCGTGATCCTCTGCAGAAAAAACTACGCGCGCACAGTCGTTCATTCAAAACCATCCATTTTCAGACGCGCGCGTCGTCGGGCGCGCGAATATAAAATGGAAGCACTGATAATAATAGATGCCAGATGGGCCAATCGCCACATGTCGAACTCATCCGAACGCCTTTGCGCGCGTGTTGGGGGGGCACGATCCGTGTCAAATAATACCATGCGGGCCACTCGCGCGGGTCGGCCGAGCGCGCACGGCGAACTCCTTCCAAAACCTTCACCACCGACGCGAGGACATCGTCATCGTTATCGGCGGGCGTGATCAACATTGGCGCCGTCATCGGCCTTGCAGTGGTCATCGCCACCATCGTCACCATCATCGGGACTCTCATCATCGTGTCTACCATTGTCGGCGTCGCCATGATGACGCGCTCGCCCACGTCACCGATTCGCACCGAAGTGCCCGCTGGAAGTGCCCAGCTGTCAACGCCACCGCGGCCGCGACGGTCGAGCCGCACTAGCTGGTCGCTACGCGCGCAACGATGCGCGGGCTAGCGCGGCCGCAGAGACGCACCAACCAACGCCAAGCACTCATCGCAATCGATGTCGCGTGGGTTTTGCAAATAATGTTGTGGGTGGGTGGCTGGGATGTTTGCGAGAGCAATGGAGTTGACGATTTCATGTTCAGTAGGGTGAATTGCATTACGTAGATTCTCCTCTCTTAAAAAATTAAGATATACCCCCCCGGGGGGTTAACGAGTGATCACCTCTTCGCATTGCAATTGACATACGATTCTGCCCCATCGCCCATCCTAAATTTGAATCCATGCCATCCCAGGCGACCCCAGTACCGAACCCCCCCCCCTCACCTGTGAAGTAATACGGTGCGCGCACACACGCTGATTCAAAACAATCAGTTGTCAATCATCCCGTGCAAAGAACGGGGCGAAATCCACACGCGCGCGTCGTCGCGGGCGCATGCCGGAATCCTTGAAAACCCTTAAAAAGTTTCGTCCAAAATTCAACATCGAGTGTCCCGAAGCCCCCCATCCCCCGCAAAAAAACATGGTTTCGCAAACAGTGTTTTCTAAATTATATTTTCTGAAAACGAAAAATATAAATGAACCAAAGAATGCGCGTTTTCGCGAATGCTTAAGAACCGCCCGAAAAAAAAAAAAAACAGGTGTTTCAAGATTTTCATACAAACCTACCAAGCAGGCTTCTCCGGCGCGCATGTCGAACTCGCTCGAACGCCCTTGCGTGAGTGGTGTCGCAAGAACCCGACGCAAAAACCAAAACAAATTGCACGCGCGCGCACCGTCGCGCGCGCATGCCGAAACCCGCCGACCCCTTGGGGTTCATCGGCGCGTGAGATGTTCCCCCTCCCC